CGTGGAGCTCTTGAATGAGTGCAGAGGAGGCCACAGAGATGTTCTGATGCATCCAGATGAGGAGCACACAAAGGTGAGGAGCTTACCATTTTGGCAGTTCCTTTTCCACTCTGAATTTTGTTGAATGTTGAAAAGCTAAATTCAGGACCCAACGAATGCAAGGACTGTACTGCTGATCCATCTCAGCCAGAAGTCACGGAATCTTCACATCTATTTTCAACACACTACACAGTCAACAGACTTAAAATAATGAAGCAACATTAGCTCAACACATCCAGACAGCAAAAAATAGCCAAGACTCAAATAAAGAGGCCTTTCCAGCTCTGTAGTTCCCAAAACAGCAGCAGGAATTGGGAGCGGGAGGCTGTGGTTACTCAGTGACTTCAATGCTACTGTACAACATTGCTTTCCCTCTCCTTCCTCACGTACTCTTCCTCGTAGCCCTCATGGTAGCAGCAGCACTTGTGCAGCCACACAGGAAGCTGGAACAGATTTATCCAAAGAATACCCCTTTTGGAGAGAAAAGTCAGGAAAGGTTTGACTTCAGGTGGGTGATCTCCCTAATCCACATGGCTCATCCATCCTTGTGCTGCTACAGGGAGACAGGAGAAACAGTTGGCAAGCAAAGCTGCCCCTTCAGCAGCAATCCAGGCTTCAGAACAGATTAAACTACACCCTCACTCTGTCTGGCAAAACATGAAAGCAAGCAAGCTTTTAAAAAGCCATTTCACAGATTCACAGACTGGTTTGGGTTGAAGGGACCTTAAAGCTCATCCAGTTCCAACCCCTGCCACGGGCAGGGACCCTTTAAACTAGAGCAGCTTGCTCCAAGCCCCTGTGTCCAACCTGGCCTTGAACACTGCCAGGGATGGGGCAGCCACAGCTTCTCTGGGCACCCTGTGCCAGGGCCTCAGCACCCTCACAGGGAAGAGCTTCTGCCTAAGATCTAATCTAAATCTAGCAAAAACTGTAAAGGCACACAAAACAGACCTTGAGATACCCTTCAAGGTAAAGCAACTACAACCTAGCAAGTTTCTAAAGTCCACGGCATATAAGAGATACAAATACATTACAGAAATACCAAATTTAATTAAAATACAGATTGTACAGCTTTAAAATATGGGCTATCTGCTTTACACTTTTGCAGACACATGCACACACCCAAAAGGAAAGCATGCCAATGTCCCAGCAAACCATGGGCAACTTCAGACTACTATGTGTGACTTACTTGCTACCATCATACAAAGCAATCTTTAAAACCAAAAGAAAACCTATGAAAAATGCCAACACCTCTGTTAAATTCAGCTATTCAGAACACAGTTTGCCCCTGGAAAAGAAATATACTGTAATAACTTGCTGCCTAAAAGCAGGCAGGTGTGGAGAGTGAAGTAGTAACTTCTAGACATAGAGAAACTTGGAAGGATTTCTGGTGGACAGCAACAAAACCTACATTTACCTTTCAGGGGGGAAAAACCTCCTTTTGCAGCACAGTTGCAGAAAGGGAACCTTGTTATAGCAATGCCAGTACATATCTGCCACATGAAAGGGGATGGGAGCTTCAGTGAGCTCCAGAAGATAAACATATGTCATGCCTAAAACGGAGCCAATGAGCCTACAAGCATCCTGAATCACTTGTTCCACAAATTCCCCAGTCACTAAGTCTGAAGCAATGTAACACCAAAAGCCAAACGGAGATCCTAGAGACAGAGATGTATTTTTAAACTGATTTGCTAACACATTTCAAAACACATTTTGTATTACAGTCTTGTCAAGTCATGAAAAGATAATTCAGCATTACTGCTACTGAGCTTCCACAAAGAAGAGAAACACAACGGAGTTTGTTAAGACCGCAATGGATATTTGTTTTTCTTTTTAAATAGATACTGTGTTGTGTCAAAAGTTGTCCAACTCCCACTAAAGCTTTCCACTCAACCAGCACACAGTTGTGTCAAGTCCCAGGTATGCTTTCCACAAGCAAAATATGTTGCCTTTTCTTCCCAGCCTCCAGGACCTACATCATAGAATCACAGACTGGTTTGGGTTGGAAAAGACATTAAGATCATCAAGTTCCAAGCTCCTGCCATGGGCAGGGACACCTCACACTAGAACATGTTGCTGAAGGCTATGTCCAACCTGGCCTTGAATACTGCCACACGTTTACCACTTCTTTGGGCAACCTGTACCAGTGCCTCAGCATCCTCACAGTAAAGAACTTCTTCCTTGTATCTAACCTAAATATTCCCTGTTACAGTTTGAACCCATCACCCTTTGTCCTATCACTGCAGTCCCTGATGAAAAGCCCCTCTCCAGCATCTTTGTAGCCCCTTTCAGACACTGGAAGCTGCTCCGAGGTCTCCATGCAGCTTCTCTTCTCCAGGCTGAACAGCCCCAACTTTCTCAGCCTGTCAAATCTACACCCTTGCATACAAAGCACTGTATTATCACTCAAAAATATGATATATTTTAAATAAACAGGGTGGTTTTGGTTATGTGCAGCCCTCGAGGCTATGAAATATCTGCAAAGGAGCTGGAGAAAAGGTAGTTACACCTATAAAGATGAGCCTTCTATGATAAGCCACAACCCTGACCAAGAAGAATCCTGTTTGGAATAAACAGTAGTTGAGTCTTCATCCTCTCCAAATGACATAGTTTAAGCCTTCAAACTACAAACATTTAAAGCAGTGCTCAGTTTTGCATAAAGATATCAAAGCTACTGGAATGGCAAGTATGCTTATGATCTGGGGGGCTGCCAAAAATCATCTGTTAATACACTACATAATGGTTGTGTTCTTCTAGGATTCATAAGAGAACTTTCTGATCTTTGCCTTGTGTCCTTTCTTTTTAGTTGTATACAAAACTGAACTAAAATGATAGAAAAAATGTAATTAAGAGTTTTAAATCCCATACAAATCATATGGTTTAAGGATTGTCTGTGTGATTTGAATACTTGCATTTATATGCTAATAAATACAGAGATTGTTTTAATTATTTACCACTTTTAAATGTGAATTTTAAATGCATACTTAACCACTAGCTTGCAAGCCACGCATTCAGACTTCCCTGCTGCCACTGCAACAGTTGAGTTTGTAGAATTCCAAACAGTACAACTGAAAGAGTATAAAGTCCTACTCCTGCAGTGCCCAAAAGCTCCAACAGTGTTATGAAAGGACCCAAATTCTCCCAAGCCTTGATAAATAAACAGTTTTCAGTTAGAATTTAATACTTTGGGATAACAGCAGGGTGCTTTCCACAAAAATCATTCTCTGTTCCAGAGACAAAAAGATCCTGTGTGTGGTTCCAGGGAGCATTGCTTTCTGGAACATTCCGGAATCACGGTGGCTGCATATTCTGAATACAGTCATAAACACACCAGTAATGGGATGATGAGGTTGACACCCAACGTCTCACACAAGTGTCACACACCAGCCAGCACAGCACCAACACCACCAAGTCCTCAAAGCCCAGCTCCCCCTTCCCAGCAAGACGCAATTAAAAGGGCTCTGCATCACAAAGCAAGTTTGCATTAATTTTAAGCAAAAATTCTCTTGTTCTCTCTTATTCTGTTATCTGATATTTGAATAAATCATTGACACAACAGAGCTGTCCTATCCTATCACATCATTCCATGTTTAAGGAATGTTTAATCTGTAAATCCAGGCAGCAATTCTACAAAGGCAGATTGCTCGCAGCAAGACTACTGGACAGACTAGGCACACTAGTGACTGTAGTAGTGAATTAAATATATTAACCCAGTTTCTTAATCCATAACATCCAAATTTATAAATTAACTGTAGAAAAATTAAATTACATGAAAGAAAACTATTTTTCAGTTGGCATTTTCACATGTTTTCCTGGCTTTGTAACCACAGGCCAATAATGCCTGTGACATCTTTCAGCAGAACACAGACTGAAGTGATTATGAGCGCCTGAAAAATAGGAAATGCCAATAAAACCTGGACTAGAACAGCAGTACCTGATCTGGATGTTCTAAAAATATGTTTCTATCCAGGGGGAAAAGAATTCCTTGGCTCAGTCTGTTACTTATTACTCAGCATTTGGTAGTTAAACACTGCACAGCCACTCATTTGAATCGAAGGAAATGAATGCTGTGATCTTGCCCAGACAAAAAAGTGTCTCAACACCCACAGAAGAAAAACAGGGGAGAGAAGGTTCAAGCCTCCACAGTGTGATTTATGAAGAGAGCACACTGGGAGAGCGAGACAAACAGCCCAGCAGCTGTCAAAGGCAACACATTTGCATTTTATATACAAATATAGAGCAAGGCATCTTGTTTAAATAAGTAATGGGTGGACTATACACTGCCAGACAGAGCAGGATGGCACAGGACTTACTGCAGAATACTCGACAGAAGAGCCATCCTAGAAATTGATTCTCCAAATGGAATGATTAAGCTTCCACATAAAGCAATACCCCAACCACTGTGTTTTCTTAAAAGCAAACTTCTAACTTCAAAAGGAGCAACCACATTAGGTAAAATGAAGACTAAAACCCTCACAATTATGTCCTGTTTCCCTACTGATCTTCACCTGGGAAGAGTTTTAAATTCTATATGGAAATATCTTCATTTGAGTTTCTTATGGCAGAAAATATAATCTATTTAAAAGTGTTGGTTAAAAGGAGACATAAATCATGAGTGGGTTTAAGATATTTCCATCATTTTAGCAGCCTCTTACAACTGGTAAATCAAAATCTGGGTCTATTTTACAGAGAAATATTACTGAAAAGACCAACGTTTTTCACATGTTGTTTGTGACAGGGGCTTTTTTTTTTTACCATTTCCCCCATTGAAGAGGAGAAAAAATGGTTTGCATTGTGTTAGCTCCAGTTATAATTTCCAGCTGTGTCAAAACTTTAACAGCCTAAAAGCAGGAAATCCAAAGAGGAAATTCCATCGTCAGTTCCTGGAGTTTTGTAACTCCAATGTTCTTCTAAAAACTGGACCTTAAAGGAATTTTTGGTAGCATTTGCTGTAACCTTACCTGATATCTTCAAGTAGCTCACATTCTGCCTGATGCTTGGCCTGAAGTTTTGTCATCTGCTCAACCTGAATGTTTTTTAGCTCCTGTGTAACTTTCACCTACAAAACAAACCACAGACCACATATATTTGCTGGAGAGTTTAAATGATTTCAACAAGAAAAAGACACAGTTTGTGCCCTCTACCTATTCTGAAATGGCACATTTCAAACACAGAGTTAAGAGCGCAGTTTAACATTCAAAAAGGCTGATTTCAAGAAGTGCTGTCACCCCAGCAGGCTTACACTGCACATGGCAAGAACCTCATGCTTAGGACCCAACCATTACCAAAAGGTGCAATTTTATTCCAAAACCTTGGAGCTTGTGTGCATTAAAAAGAGTTTTGCCCACCAAAACCAGGAAAAATAGGCCATGGGGGGGGAATTACATTATAATGTACATATTTAGCACTACAGTGCAAGTCAGGCCCATTTTGAAATGTACTGAACTGTCCTACACTTGCTATCATTTAAAGAGAGCTTAAACACCAAGCTGGATTTTGGTTGTGCATCACATCAAAAGAGCCTCTCTAAAAGGCTCCAGAAGGTCAACCTTTTGTTTTTCGTATTGGTGTCATTTCCCTTTGAACCTTGTGATCACAAAGCTAAGATTTCAGTACTTTGGGAACCAACCTGATAACTGGCAGCACCATTGGCACAGGTACAGGGAATGACTGGATTCTGGAAGGGAATCTGGGGCTTGTTTTGTTGTTGGTTTTATAGAACAAGAGGTCTTGGTGTTTAAGCCCTCTAGTGATCACAGGGAATCCATATATCGGCCTAAAAAATGACCTGAAGACATTATGCATTCGGGAGGGCAGAAATGCCAAGCAGTTACTGTAATGCAGGAAGAGGTGAAGAATTCACAGAGGAAGAAGACACAAAATTCCCTCTTTTTCAGTAGCAGGGCAAAAAGCCTTTAGATCTCATTAACCAGCAAAAGCCTCCTCAATTTTAACACTGAAAACAAGCCCCAGCAACCAGCACCCTTCAGCCAACATTATATAAAGACACATTTTTCACACGATATCAAAAATAGTTAAAAATCACATGTATGTGACTTCAAGCAGGAAAAAAAAATGTCTATTTTTAACATGAACTTTGAGCATTTGGGGGTTTTATCTGTATATGAAAAAGAAAACCCTACTCAAAATAAATAAACCCACACAAGATGACCCATGTAATGGAAATAATCTCGAATAATATAGGCAAAGAATGCCACGCATGTAGCATAAATAAGCCACCAAATGCAAACTGAAATAAAGATGAGAACTGGTTCAACAAAAGCAGAGTCCACCCGCAAAACAAGAGGTCGAGAGGGAGGAATGAGCCAAGGAGATGCTCCCTGCAGTGCCTGCCAGGGCTACTGGGGATGACAAGGGATTTCTCTATTCTCCGTCTCAAGCTTTCCTCCCTTCCCAAGCTCTCCCAGTCGCTATTATACAGGTCTCCACCCGGCAAACCCCTGCAATGCCTTCACCAAGAAACCTCAGTTTCACATCCGAGATCTCAAACAACCCCATCGAGCTACAACAAATCAGGCTGTGAATGGTTACAGCCCTTATCAGGCAGCAGAGAATATCCAACACACACCAAGCTCAGAGCCACAGAACTCCCTTCCACAGCGCCTGTAAAAGAGCAGCTTCTCCATCCTGAGACCTGCTCCTCCGGCTGCAGCTCTCCCTTTCTCCCCACACCACTGCATAACTAACCAATAAATCTCCATGGCTCAGCACTTGCACATAGCTCAAGACCCCACCACGGCTCAAGTCGCACAGAGAACAACCTGCATGCAGAGAAGCCGCACCAAATCTTACGTTCCTTCTTACATCCCTTCCCACACCAGCCCCCCATAAAGCAAAGCACCCATGGACACAAAAAAGCCCCCCCCGGTGCGTCTGCAGGTTGTTCCCATCACACAGATGTTGCCCGTTTCTGGTCGATCCTGAGCCATACCGGGATACCCCGCATCCTTGCATCAACTCCAGGCGTGACCTCCTGCACCAAGCCAACCGCCCCATCGCCGCCGTAGCACCCCAACGCAGCTGAGCCCCCCGAACACAGCCCCATAGCACCCCACAGCCGCCGGACCACCTCTGCAGTCATTGCCCCCCTTCCAGCCCTGCCCAGCCATTGCTCTCCTCCATCTGGAGCTAAAGCACCGGGTATCGGGGGTACCCCAAAACCCACTGCCCCCCCCTTTCCTCACCAGCCTTCCTCATACCCACAGAGCTCCCCTCCACACCAGACCCCCCCCCTTCCCTTTTCCAACACCCCCCCAAAGCCCCACAACCCCCAGTTCACCCCCCTTGTCCCTCCTAACACTTGTTTTCCCTCACCCGACCTCCCTCCATGCTCCACCATAGCACAGCCCAACCTGCGGCCCCCCTCCCCACCGGCGCCCTCGAACCCCCTCATCCACCCCACTTTACACCCCCAGACCCCAGCACTCTGCCCTAAACACATCCTATGGCTACCAGCACCCCCAAATCAGCCTCCAAGCCCCACTTATCCCCCCTAATACACACACAGAGCCCCCCCACACACCCCGGGAGGGCCCTCACCTTCCTCGGCGGCGGCTGCATGGTGCTGCGCTGGGTCTCCACATCAATTCCCTCCCCCCGGCAGCAGGATGCGGCCCCCGCTGCAGGAGGAGGAGAAGGAGGAGCGGGCAGCGATCGTCTCCCTGCCGGTGCAGGGCGAGTCCCGGTCGGCGGGAGGAGGGAAAAGGGGAGGGAATGGGGAGCGGGGACGGGGGGGGGGGAAAGGCCGCCTCTTCCTCACGGGCAGCGACCGAGCAGCGTCCCGAGTCCCGGCCCTCGGGAGCGGGGAGGGAAAGGAGGCGGCGGCGGGAAGGCGGGGACGAGGCTGAGGGGAGGCGAAGGAGGAGAAGGAGGAGAAGGAGCAGAGGGAGCGCGGCTCGGGAGCGCCCCGCTGAGGGAACGCGAGCCCGCCTGAGGCGAGGCCTCCAGCGCCGGGAGCGGCCACCACGGAGCGGGGCGGGGGGAGAGGAGCGGGAGGGAGGGAGGGAGGGAGGGAGGGAGGGAGGGGGGAACGCCCCCTGCAGGCTCCGCTGCGGCCGCTGGGGGGCGCCCGTGGGCAGAGCGGGAGGCGGCGCGGGAGCAAGGAGAGGGGGGTGAGGGGTGCGCAAGGGGGTGCAGGGGGGGTGTAAGGGGGGTGCGGAGGGTGTAAGGGGGTGCAGGGGGTACGCAAGAGGGTGCAGGGGGTGTATGGGGTGTACAAGGGGGTGCATGGGGGGTGTAAGGGGGTGCAGGGGGTGCGCAAGGGGGTGCATGGGGGGTGTACGGGGTGCATGGGGTGTACAAGGGGGTGCATGGGGGGTGTAAGGGGGGTGCAGGGGGTGCGCAAGTGGGTGCAGGGGGTGTATTGGGGTGTACAAGGGGGTGCATGGGGGATGTAAGGGGGGCGCAGGGGGTGCGGAAGGGGGTGCATGGGGTGGACGGGGTGCATGGGGGGTGTACAAGGGGGTGCATGGGTGGTGTAAGGGGGGTGCAAGGGGTACGCAAGGGGGTGTATGGGGGTGTACAGGGGGTGCATGGGGGGTGTAAGGGGGTGCGCAACGGGTGCATGGGGGGTGTACAAGGGGGTGCATGGGTGTGCAAGGGGGGTGCAGGGGGTACAGGGGGTGCAGTGGGTGCAAGGGGGTGCGCAAGGGGGTGCAGGAGGTGCATGGGGGGTGTATAAGGGAGTAAAGGGGGTGCATGGGGGGTGTAAGGGGGGTGCAGGGGGTGCGCAAGAGGGTGCATGTGGGTGCACAAGGGGGTGCATGGGGAGTGAGCAAGGGGGTGCATGGGGGGTGCACAAGGGGGTGCAGGGGTGCATGGGGGTGTACAGGGGGTGCATGGGGCAGGGGTGTAGGGGTGCAAGGGGTACGCAAGGGGGTGTATGGGGGTGTACAGGGGGTGCATGGGGGGTGTAAGGGGGTGCGCAACGAGGTGCAGGGGGGATGCACAAGGGAGTGCATGGGTGTGCACACGGGGGTGCACAAGGGGGTACAGGGGGCGCACAAGTGGGTGCATGGGGGTGTACAAGGGGGTGCAGGAGGGGTAAGGGGAGCACGGAGGGTGTAACAGGTGAAGGGGGTGCAGGAGGGGTAAGAGGTGCACAAGGGGGTGCACAGAGGGTACTGGGTGTACAAAGGAGGTGCGCAGGGGTTCAAGGTGCGTGCACAGGAGGGTGCAGGGGCTTGCACGGGGGTGCAGGGTGTGCGCAAGGGGGTGCACAGGGGGGTGCAAATGATGCACGGGGTGCACCAGGGTGTGCCTGGGGGGTGCAGGGGTGTTGCACGGGGGGGTGCGGGATGTACACAGAGGGGTGCAGGGGGGTGCAAGTGGAGGGTGCCGGGTTTGAATAAGGGGGTTCAGGGGTGCAAGGGATGCACAAGGGAGTGCAGGAGTGTGCTTGGAGGTGCAGCGATGTGCACAGGGTGTACGCAGGGGTGCAGTGATGTGCAGTGGGGATGCACAGGGGTTCAGGGTGCACGCACAGAGGGGTGCACAGGGGTACACAGGGAAAGTGTAGGGGGTGCACAAGGGGGTGCAAGAGGCGAGCAATGGGGAGTGCACGTCGGGGTGCAGGGTGTACAGAAAGTGGGTGCAGGGGTGTGCAAAGGAGGAGCACGGTGATGCACAGGAGGTGCACATGGAGGGTGCAGGGTTTGCATGAGGGTGTTCAGGGGTGTGCACAGGGGTGCAAGAGCTGCACAAGGGGGTGCAGGAGCATGCAAGGGGGTACAGAGGTGTGCACAGAGTGGACATGGGGGGAATAGTTTGCAAAGGAGGTGCACAGGGGTGCAGATGGTGTTCATGGGGGTGCACAAGGGGGTGCAGGGGTGTGCACAAGAGGGGTGCAGGCTGAGCACTGGGTGAGAGCAGGGGATGCACAGAACATACAGAGATGTGCAAAGGACGTCTCAGTTACATGATGTGAGCAGGGGTGTGCAAAGGATGTGCACCCTCATCCAGCTTCCAAAGCATGGGTCCACTGCAGGATCTGGCTACACACACTGGGGTGCAGGATGAAACCCGTGCTGCCATGGAGGTGCTCCCCAGCACCAGGCAGACATGGTGTTGGGAGTGCTCTGCACCAGAGGAAAAGCAGCCATCACCTTTCTTCCAGCACTTTTAAGCCTTCCCAAGCAAAGTGGAGCAGGAAGAGGTGGAGTTGAGCTGGAGTTCACGTTATAAAGGACAGTCCTCCTCATAGTCATAGAATCCAGACGGGTTTGGGTTGGAATGGACCTTAAAGCTCCTCCAGCTCCAATCCCTGCCATGGGCAGGGACCCCTTCCACTGGAGCAGCTTGCTCCAAGCCCCTGTGTCCAACCTGGCCTTGAGCACTGCCAGGGATGGGGCAGCCACAGCTTCTCTGGGCACCCTGTGCCAGCGCCTCAGCACCCTCACAGGGAAGAGCTTCTGCCTAAGAGCTCAGCTCAGTCTCCCCTCGGGCAGGTTCAAGCCATTCCCCTTGGCCTGTCCCTACAGGCCCTTGTCCCAAACCCCTCTCCAGCTTTCCTGCAGCCCCTTTAGGCACTGGAGCTGCTCTAAGGTCTCCCCTTCAGGAGCCTTCTCTTCTCCAGGCTGACCCAGCCCCAATTCTGTCCTCAGAGCCTGGAGACAGCAGCTGGAGCACCCAAATCCTGATGCACCCCAAGGCCACCCCACCAGCAGAGCACCCAAGCACACCACAACCCACGAGCCTTTTGCAGGAGGTTGCTTTTAACTAAAGATGAATAAACCAAAGCAGAACCCTTGAGCACTGCAGCCACCGGTGGGATGCAGGAGAGCCCAGGAGGCAGAAGTGATGTTCCCAGCCATGCAATGCCATGTTTTGACGGGTATGAATTAAAAGCCCTTCGTCAGACTTGCTTTTTCCTTTCCCCTCCCAGTACTTAGGTTGCTCGGCTCAGCTTATTAGATCTTCTGCAATGAGATCTTTGAGCTGTTAAGTGCATTTGGACATTTCCTTGAAGCAAATCACCGGGGCAGTTTGCAGAGCACAAGGCAATCATGGTAATTGCATTTTCCCAAGTGCTCCAGCATCGCTGCTGCTCCAGCTCCTTCATTATTGATGAACAGCTTTACTCCAGCTCCCAGAAACCGACCCGATGCCTTTAAAGATGCTTTAACCATCTTTTAACACTTGAAAACCCCTTCAAACGCAACTTGAATTCTCCTTTCTCCTCTAGCTAGTAGTTTATTTAGTGCTGGTAATTACTCCAACTCCTCCTCCGGGGAAGAGTCCATCTAAATCATTGGTTTGATGTGGTGCCTCAATGAATGATGTGAGCATCATCCATCTGCTTGAGCTACACAACCTGCAGAGCCCTGGAGGTGCTCTTGCAGGACCATGCCCTGTGCCCATTAGCAAGTTTAAACTTGCCCTGAGGTCTCCACACAGCTTCTCTTCTCCAGGCTCAACAGCCCCAATGTTCTCAGCCTGGCTCCATACAGGAGCTGCTCCAGCCCCTGAGCATCCTCGTGGCCTCCTCTGGACTTGTTCCAACAGCTCCATGTCCTTCTGATGCTGAGGACATCCATAGAGGGGGATAAATAGAGGGACACAAACAAAACACAACGGTGCCCCAGCGGTTCAGGAAACAATTTGTCATCGTCTTGATTTAAATCCTGTGGAATGTGTTTGGTAAATCTGTCTGTTTGCAAAGGTTCAGCCCATCCCTGGAACCGCTTCTGGAGGGACCGAGTCCTTGGGAGCATCCTCAGGGCATTAATATTCCATTTTTCCCTGGGATGCGCTGGTGGGAATGGGGATCTGGTTCCCTGGGGTCCACAATGGAGTGAGGAGGGGGATGGGATTTTGCAGGAGATCAGCATTGAATGAACTGAGAAAGGCAGGAGCCAGGCAGAGTAAACAGCTTCTAAAAAGATATTCATTTCATTTCACTTCCTTTCATGGGGGCCTATAAGGATGCTGGGGAGGGACCCTTCATTAGGGACTGCAGTGATAGGACAAGGGGTGATGGGTTCAGACTATAACAGGGGAAGTTTAGATTAGATCTATGGAAGAAGTTCTTCCCTGTGAGGGTGCTGAGGCACTGGAATGGGTTGCCCAGGGAGGTTGTGAATGCTCCATCCCTGGCAGTGTTCAAGGCCAGGTTGGACAGAGCCTTGGGTGCCATGGTTTAGTGTGAGGTGTCCCTGCCCATGGCAGGGGGTTGGAACTGGATGAGCTTAAGGCCCTTTCTAACCCAAACCATTCCATGATTCCATGATTTCATTTTCTTGGAATCAGAGTCCCAGGATCCCAGGTTGGATGTGCCTCAAGGATCATCTGGTCCAATCTTTCTGGGCAAAGCATGACCTAGACTAGATGGTCCAGCACCCTGTCCAGCCCAATCTTAACAGTGTCCAATTATTTATATAGTTTAGTTTAGTTTAATTTCATTCCATTTTGTTTTATTTTACCTTAATGCATCTTCATTGAATGATATTATTAATTTTTAAAACATAATTTAATGTAATTCTGTTTCATTTCCTTTCACATCTGAAAGAAGACACAAAATACCATCCCAAATTGATCTACAACACCCAGGGAACCCCAACAGAGGTGAGACATGAAGGACGAAAACCCCAAGAGCCAAATACCAGCTGATAGTAACAACCCCACCTGAAAAAAGGAGTGTATTCCCTCACCCCAAAAAAGCAGAATATGTCCATAAAAGCCAAATTTACTGATGAATCCCAAGGGATAGAGCCCCACTTGGGTCCATCTTCATGCTGCTCTCATTGTGTACACAGCGAATAGAATAGTTCCGGTTGGAAAGGACTTTAAGATGATTTAGTGCCAACCCCCATGTAAAGGCATCTGATTTAAGAGCTGGACTTGATGATCTTAAAGGTCTTTTTCAGCTTAGTTGGTT